CTTACAATCTGAAACGAGATATTCCTGTATGCACGGAAGGACGCGGAACCTCCACGAAAGCATTTCTTCGCGGAAGGCTCGCGTAAGTATATGTCTTAAGCAAACCCCACATGTAGGAATCTGAGCGGTAGTCTTCCAGGCCTTCTCGCGGAAGCAAGTTCCAAAATCCAGCTGAAAAATGTTTGTGGAAAGGAAAGGCTGAAGGAGCAAAGACTAGAAACTATACTCATGAAAGCCACGCGGAAGGCCTTCGCAGAGATGTTTGTCATGAGAATGAAATGCAGAAGTACAAACGGCGACATGACTCCTGTCAGGATTATCGGGAGTACAGAAGCACCAGTCTCAGTCCGCGATTGCAGGATGCTCTCCGACATGTATTCTACTTCACATAACCTGAACCCGAGTCCTCGAGCTCCACTTGCTCTGGGTGCTTGCACGCAAGGATGCTGCGCGGTCTGCACGACAATCCTGGGGACGAACCTTGCGCTGCGCTCTTTCTTCAGCTGCACGACTGCAAGGGCTATGGGCACAAACCTGAAAAAGACTCGAAGTCTTCTCTTGTTTTCTGAGCAGCCGAACACACTTCACCCATCCAAGCTTTGGCATTTAATTGTTTACGAAAAGGGACGCCTGCTTTGTGACCCGTTCACACGTATTCCCGCAAGAGCAGGTAATTAGTGATCAGGATAGCATGGGGTCGCACCGATCAGACTTAGCCCTCGCCCAAGTATAAATTTCAAGCCTCGCAAGGTGATGGCCTTCCCAAAAGTGCTTCTCTTTGGGCCTTTGCTGCGGTGTCCGTGCTTCCTGCAGCCGCTTGTTGGTGGCCGGATGCCTTTTATGGCGCCATCGATTTCGCAGGCAGATAGCATGGGGGTTATTCTGTCTCCGTTGTCACAGGCCAATTTCCAGCACCACCTCACTAGTTCATCCAGCGGTCCTGGCAACCGTGCGTTGCAGTAGAACAGCTTAGTCATATGCAGTCCAGACAGAACTGAACTGTGCCTTGCGGCGATGACCCGCATTTGCTCTGGAGATCTCTGGAGTGTGAAGCTGACTAGAACAGTGCTCTGGAATGTAGACAGACCTCCGTGGCCAAAGAGCATCCAGCGCACATTGTCATCTCATTGGTGGGCTATGTCAGACATGCATGCTGGCACAAGGAGCAGAAATCTGAATTTCACACATACCTGTAGAGGATTTATTGGTTGTTTACGCCTGAAGTCGCCCAAGAACTTGGCAGACAGGTCCTGTCGGTCTCGAAGCCAACAGCACCTGACATCCCCAAAGCAACGGAGCCTCAAAAAGCAACTCGAAGCCAGGAGCCTACCCTGTCACATTGCTTTGGGGCTGCGCTCCTCCTCTGATGGCCTTAGCTCGGGGGGAGCAGCCGAGCAGGACACAAAGCAGCGTTGAATTCCCAGGGCTGGCTCTCAGAAAGAATGAACCTTGAAATTCACGGTTCGACTTCTATAGTCGGAATCTACGTCGGGTTAGTTTGGACGCACGAATACATGGATTCGGCGGGTTTCACATCCTCTTCTACAACTGCTTGAGACTTTCAAAGGGCAGCTCGACAAGGTTGGCATCATAATTTCCAAAGACGGAGAAGTGTAGCGATGTCTTTTCGGACATCTCACTTGCCTAGGAGAACAAAACTTGTGATTGTCATTCGATCACCTTTCTGTTATCATTTGGGGTTGTGTGGGGGACCACACACCCCCATAACTCCAGATGCCAGAGGACCACGATGGAAAAAAAAGATTTCATGACGATTGCCACAAGTTTCGTAGATAGGTTTGGGGCCAAGGAACTAAAATGTCCAAAAACTTACGAAAACCTCTGACTGGCTTAAATCATCAGCTTCATCTGATCGTATCATTAATTCATGATTTTCAGGCTTTTTCACATGTTTATCTTTGGAGTGGGATGTGGGGGGGGGGGTTGGGCCAGGATCCCTGACCCCAGATCGTCAGCCACTCTTCAGACCTTCCCCGCAACACTCTAGGCGGCGTCTGGGAGCGGGATGTGTTGGATGCACAAAAAGTATTTTCTGAATATCCCACCTGTGGCTCTCAAAGAGTCTCTTAAGTTTATGCCAAAGACGGGCGAAGGGTGGGGAGATGCCACAGTCATCTTCCTCATTGTCATTGTTGCAGTCGTCGTTGCAAATATGCTACGGACGGGGGCTCTGCGAGGGGTGGGGAGGGAAGGACTTTGAGCCAGGGGTCGGGCGAACGAGCATTAAAAGTTATTTCGCTAAGCCTCGAAGAGGTGTTCTCGTCTTGTAGTCAGGTGTTTCTCAGGTACGCTTCGGCTGGCGCTTGCAGCTTGTGCTTGCAACTGCATCACCAGCTTTCAAACCCTGCTAGTGGCAACGCCCACCTAGCTCCGGATACTTGACTAAGTCATCCAACAATTGCATCCTGGACACACATGCCTCATTACTCATACATTTCTGCATCGTTTCCTTGCCATTAACTTTGTACGTAACGCTATCTGACCACCTTGAAATTGGAAAAACATGTGGAACAAATGCAAGCGTCTACGGTTTTGAGCAGAAGCAGCCATTGACAGATGTGAAGCCGAGGGACATTGCATTGCTGCATGTCCTCTCACATGCATTGGTTTACATACTTAATCGCATGTTTTGTGATGCTTGCGTTCCACAAAATGTGCTAGCATGGATCTTCTCAAACCCCAGCGTCCGCAGCAAAATAGGAAAATCTGCCCTGACGTCGGGTTGCCCGAAAATCAGCGTCTACATGGGGATTACCTTTTTCTGACCCCGCTGATGCGAAATCTTCCCAATGCAAGCGTCCGCAGTAGATGACGTGTATTCTCATCGAGTGGCGTGCATTGACCCCGGCGCTTGTAAGGTTGTTGCATACAATGCGAGCAGCACATAATTTTAGATCCAATGCGCCAACTCCAATTTGTCCTAGGGTATGTGGCCAGGATGGCCCAAAAAACCTTGAGGGTTCACCACAACTGCAGATGTACACGACAACAACTTCTGCTTCATGTCCTCTCGTAGGCATAAGACCACATGAGCCAAGACCACATGAGCTAAAACGTTGGAAACATATATGGCTGCACAACCTTGTGCAGCGAATGCGGGGACCATACTGCGTGGATCCCATTGAGGTATCATGAAGTGTGGCACGCAAACGCGTTTTCTCTCCAAGCTGGACTTTACTGCAACTTTAGCACTTGATAACTTGTGGAGTTCCTCTCTTTCATATTCAAGGCACCAAATGTTAAACTTCTAGTGAGGGCTGAAACGCAATCATTCTGTAAGCGCCTGACAGCTGAGCGGGAAGCCCTTGCACTCCAAAGCGCTTCTTCTTCAGAATGAGATTAACGAGCTTTCTCTTGCATGAGGCAGACGTGCCTCAAATCTGTCAGGAGGCGGACCGTGTTGCTGACTCTCATCTTGATGGCATCGCTGGCAACTTGGACAGCTCGAATGCTTGAAGATTCCTGTTTTGACCTTCTGACCGACATGCAACATCAAGCCCGATCAGTGGAGTAGGAGCTATCTGTGCCTGTGGGCATGCATTTCATCGTGTACAAGCACTGATGTTCCAAGCTTGTACTCGTACATACTAGAGGCCATGCTATGTCTCTTGAACGAGGTATCTGTTGCCATTTGTGCAGCCCAAGATCTTGGTCGACTGTTCGGGCTGCGGTCCTTGGCTCGTTGGGCATGACTGCTCCTGGAAAGGCCCCCCGGCCAAGACAAAGAAAACGGACGGAAGCCATGACAACAACAACTATGAGATCACTCCACAGTAAGCAGGCCGATGATGAGTCGATGGCTTGGCAAGTAGGACTTGATCACAGCATTTCCTTCAGATTCGACAAGTAAAACTCAGACCTGAGGTCCCAAGCTACGCAAAAGACTAAACTGTGAAGTGCGCAATTTTCAGCGAACAAATCCCCCAATCCAAAGTGCAGCACCCTTGGTGTTTGTGACACGCAGAACCGCAGAACCTGCAAACACCTGCAACCACCAGCCATATACATCCTGAGGTTCCAATGCCGGTCATACAGCTGGTGGGTGCATCCATATTGACACAGGTGCTTCCTATGCCGAACACCATGGGTCCATGTCAAGCAGCTCAAGCACTGTGGTTTTGAATGATGAGCTGACCTAGCGGAGCTCGATGAAGCGTCAGTACGCGCCGTTGTGATGCAGAAAAGGTAAAGTCAAGACTGAAGTCTAAAGGCGTATGCTATCCGCATTGCTGCCTCGGGCTTCAGCACGCTCTCATGGGGCCGCTGAAAACTGTCTGGTGCTTCCTGGTGGCAAGGAGATCCTGATGTGGAACACCGGTCAACCATGCAGTCTTTGGTGCGAGTTTGCAGAGCTGCGGTCGACCATCATCAATCAGAAGTCGCTTCATGCGGAGGGCACTGCGGGGGAAAACGAGTGATGGAGTCTTTTTGCAAAGTCTGGCGGCTCTATATTGCTGGCTGCGCACCCCATCCCACCCAACAAGAAGAAGCCCTTCTAGCCAAGGCTGGTTTGATCACCTCGGAAGACATACTGCAATTGCTTCACCCCTGCATAAATTGACATCGAGGCCCCCGAAGGATGAAAAGCTCCCGCGGCTCGAAACATTTTTGACAGTACCGGGTGGTCACTTCTGGTTTCTTGCCTGCGGCCAAGTGAATTTCAATAAATTCAAATTGAAGTTATGCAAGCCAGCTTAGACTCAACTAAAACGCTTCTGGATCTCAAACTCCTGAATTAGGTCAAAACCATTCTCCACTTCCTCAACCTAAAAGGTGCTCTTGCACAATTTCACTAAAACTCGTCTTACCAGCAATCCCCGAAGAAAATGGATCCTCCAACAGCGTGTTCCTGTGCGGGATACTCACGAGGCAAGTGGATGTTGCTAAACTTAGCTTTGAGACCTAAATCATTGCCGCATTGTGAGGATGGAGCCAGAAAGATTTACCTCCTGAGCATTTGTATCAGACCCTAGTTGAAGGCAGACTGCGTGGAGCCGCTTCAGCTGGTGAAGTACACGCCGGGGCAGTACTACAGGCTTCCAAAGATGCGTTCTACCAGGGAGATGCGTTTTTCCCCTCAGTGACTTAGTGATTAGGATCGCACGCAATTAAGGTTCACGGCAGGCAATTCTTTGACCTGCAGAGCCCCTATTCAGCTTACGTCCTTCAGTCCAAAATAAGTTCGGTGCTGCGCGGAGCATGGATATCATCACTTGGAGAGGGACTGGGAGGTGGCCGGCGTAGATGGAAGAACTAATTTAGAATGAGCAGCCTTGTTCAGGGTATGTAAGAGCTATGATGGAAGTGATCGTGCAAGAGTGCTCGCGCCGCCTCGGGCCTGCAGGGCGTAGTTGTGGCGTAGTTTCGCAAAGGCACGTATTGATAGTCTTGTCCGCCTAGTCTGCATGGTTTGTATGGCTTGTAAGCAAGAAGAGGTTCGTGCTGAATAAACTGTCTATAGCCCAGGAAGACCTCGTAGTCCGCACAGGCAGCGCGATAGCAAGAGTGTTCGCGTAGTTTGTTCTGCATGGAAAACGGCCGCATAGTTCGCGTAGGCAGTCTGTCTGAGTACAAGCACTTGAACTTAAACAGAAGACAATGCTCAGATGAAGCGCTTCTCTGGGGGTAGCACATCATGTGCCTTCGCGCAACGCTCGTCCCAACTCAACAAAGACAAAGAAGCTACAAAGTTGGGCCTCATGTAACATCCCGGCAGAGCCAAGGCAAAAACCTCAAGAACAACGTACAAGAGGAGCGCCCCAATTCCAGAGTAGACGCATAGGCGTACAGCCTCTCACATCGCAGTCAATTGTGATGGTACTAGCTTCAGGCTGAATTGCTGACATAAGCAAGCAGAACTAGCATCAGCATGTCTATATTATGGGAAGGGTCCGATCTCGCATGAAAGTGTTGCTGCGCGCGCTCACAGAGCCATAGCTTTCCTTGGAAAGACTCCTGGCTTCCTGGCTCAGGGCGCATATGGACACACACCAGGAGCCTGACAGGCACGGCTGCAAATCAGAGCCATTGGGCAGGCTTGAAAGCCGTTGGTTGTAAAATGTTTCAAGAGGTTTGGATTTCATGCACTTCGGGATGGATAGCAGCCAGGTAGCAAGGCTCACAAGCCCAGGGTAAAGCGTGCGCATCTAGCTATAGTGAAGTTAACCACCCTTCCCTAGTAATGGAAACAATCGGTCCCGGCGGAGAAAGTGAAGGAGGTAGTGCCACCCATGCTTCGCGTCAGATATAAGTATACTCCTCTTGAGGAACCAAGCTCATTTGGTGTATTTTACTGAATTCTAGCACCGTCCAAAAAACATGCTGATTTGTTGATTACAAGGAGAGTTTTAGAGGGAGCAGAGATCAAGACGCTCAGAACCACGCTCTATACATGTCCCGAGGCCGCATATAGATGCAAAGCTTTACATAACACGTGTGTATAGGTTTGATGATCAGCCATGAAGCCCATTTACAGCCAGAAGTCTCAACTCGAATCCGGAAACGGGCAGAGCCAGGCTAGGGTCTTTCAATGGCGAGCAGCGTACGCACACGTTGCTGGTGTTCGTGCCGCTCTCCTGCATGCCAGCAGTTGGTGCTAATACATTTGATTGGGAGTTGAGGTTTCAGCTTCGAACTTCAGCGGCTTGACCCTTTGGGGCACAGGTTGGATGGCGAACTGTGATTGTCTGGAATTAGGGCGGCTGTCTGCGGCGGAGTTCATCCTGATCTTGTCTCAAGAGAAACATCCTGGGACAAGTGAGCTTCTTCGCTGGCCCTCAGGGACTATTCTAGCTTCCAGTGTCAAGAGCTGCCAAAACCCATGCTTGGCCTCTGTCTCAACAGCTCAAGCGATTTAGGTCCAAGCTACAGGAACTCCATGCTGAAGACGTGCAATGCAAAAACAGTGCGCCTTTTTAGGTCCAGTGTCCCGGAGGCCAGGCACCTGTCTCTGAATGCACTCAAGGTGAGGTCATTGTACGCGAAGCTCTGGAAAGGAAACATAGCCTTAAAAGGTTGGTGCAATGACTCTTAGGGTTTGGCGTTTTCAGCGCATGAGGGAGCACAGCCCGCATTCCAAACAAGAATTGTTGTCGCGTTTCTTGAACAGGTTGGGTTTTGCTAAGCACTGTGCAGTTTCAGGCAGGAAGCAGGTTTCTTGATGTCCTGCAGTACAGGGGGCTAAGTTGGTCATGAGTTCGTGAAGATACCTGCGAGCCGCGGACAGGGCTTAGCTGGCAACCTGAATCTCAAGAAGTGAAGCCAAAGCTCCGCCAGTCGGATGGTGGCGGTCACCTTCACTTTCCGCTTCTGGAGCTTCGCATCCTGCCGAAGGCAATGCATGCAGGTCTCGTCAGACGGGTGACGTGAGGCAACCGCAAAGTTTTTCAACAGAGGCTACTGCGTATCACATGCACGGAGTACATGATGTTGGGATTGCGGATTCGTTGGACTTCAGACTGTAGAGCTTGTATGAGCTTCTGCCGGTACTTCTACCGGAAAGTCCCCACCGGGAGTCAAAGTCATGATGCAAAGCAAGCCAGGCTGGCACTGCCGTTTTGTGGGACAACTTGAAGCTGAAGGGCGATGGCGCGCTAGCCTCAAAGCGCCAGGCTGCTAGGTCAGCTTGGAGGTTTCTTTTGCCTGTAGCAGCAATCAGCGGAGAGGAGAGAACTACTTTGAAGAGATTCTTAGTGCAGGGCTTGTTGTAGCCACGAGGGAAAGTGCAAGGCTGCATCAGAAATATGGTGCACATTGTTTGCCTTACGTCAGGCAGGAGCAGTTGTCAACAGTCAAGACAATCGACGTTTCGCAGAGCTGTAGCTGCACCGTGTCAAAGCTAAGAGAAGAAAAGGCCAAGGAGGGCCAGCACTCCTGCCTAGCACATTGGGTCTCTCGGGCACTCCAAGGAGTCCATGGAGCCTGATCCTTGCGCACTGCATGAGGCCACGCCCAGAGCCTCAAGGGGACTTCAATGTTCTGTTGGACCTAAGATTAGTGTGTGAAGTAGGATGCACACGCAGAAGCATGAATGAAAAGGCGTGGAGAGAGCTGTCTTAACATTGCGGGGCGAGTGGCATCCATATTGCGAAGTGGAACTTGTGTAACAAAGATGAGATGAGATTCCGCATTGGCTGGAAATATTGCCCATTGGATATCACTAGGTTGTCGTCATGAATGGCCTTGAGTTACTTAGCCTCACACAAATGAATGCCACGTATGAAACGGCAGCGGGTCGCTACCTCAAGTGTAGTGCAAGCCCAAGACACATTTGAATCCACAGTTGTTGTGGTGTGTGTCTCGGCGACATGAATTCCAAGGCTACTTGCACTATTGCTCAAGTCTTTCCACTTAGCTGTTTTAGCTGCAAGCTCATTCGCAGGCCAGACTCGGCCAACGAAACGTTGCCTTTGCAAGTTGTCACATAGCTTGCTAGCCTCCACGGGACGGATGTGAGGTCATGAGTTCCCAGCCGGAGGCCCTAGCTTCACGGCTCTACGATTCCCCAAATCTTAGGCCCACAGCCGAAAGCACGTTCAATCTTCATTATATTTTTGCAGGGCGAGCCACCTCTCGGCGTCAACAAGGCTTGCTTTCCAAAATGCTGGTGCTGGGCACTTCAAGGATGTTGACTTCAATTGCGGCATTGCAATTGCGGGCTTGTGGATGGTGGGCCCGCGGTTTGTTTGCAGGATTTGGTTTGGGGATTCGCACGTTACTTGAATTCCTTGCGTCAAAGGTTCAGGGCTGGAAGATGTGCAGGCGTTGCAGGCACACTTTTCAGGAGAGTGGTCAGGAATGATGCCAAACTGCGATCCAGAAAAAATGTGATGCGTGGCACATTATTAAGAACGCCATTTTCCAAGGTCGAGGCACGCAGAGGTGTGGAGCTTCTGTTTGTCACATTAGCTCACGGTTCCCTAAAACGCTTCACTGTTCAGAATTCACACATCGCTGGTATTCACACATCGCTGGTGGGACTCTTACCGGCTTGCCTGGTTCGGCATGCGTGCGTCCAGGTCTAGAGCTTAGCGCTTACGAATAAGATAGTGGCCTGCCTGAATCTGAAGTCCAGATTAGATTGCGAGAGCTTGATACAATCACGCCTTAGGTGATTCGCCTAGACCTGACTTCGATGCGAGACCCCAACAGTACCGTCTTGGATTCTTGCGCATTTAATGACCAGCGCACGAACAAGAAAGCTGGGCATGCGCTGCACTTCTTCAATTGTTGAGGCGTTGAGTCCTTGAGGCCATTGAAGTCATCCAAGTTTGAATGTATTGCCTACATTGGACACCTTGAATCGCATCTCCACAAACCCAAAGACTCTGGATCCTATCTGTTGAGCAGGTTGCCATGAACGTTCCGCCGCTGCACTTTAGGACTTGGTGTATTTTGAGGCTGCGGGTCAAAGTTGGGTTGGCTCAGCCATCAGGGGCTGCAGGAGCAGGAAGCCAGTTTGCTGGCACTGTGTACGTATCTTGCTGGCACTGTATACGTATTCGAGGTAATTTTGCTCTTGATTTGCATCACAGAGCTGCATTCAATCACCTAAGCTACAACTTGCCAATCCGCAGACCACCAAGAGCAGCAAGCTGGCTTGTTTGCCGGATAGTTTGCCCTGTGGTTCACCACCGCCGTCACCACCAGCAGCGCCACCAAAAAGCTGCAAATCAGCACGGTGTCACATCTAGATTTTAGGACGTTGTAGCGGAAGAGGTCAGCAGTTCGTGGATAAAGGATTTTGGGGGAAGGCCGGGGAACACACCTCACATCTTGGAGCTGTGGGGTGGTCAGGATTCCCTGCTTAATATATTGAAGACGCTGAAGACTTGCCATGACAGTTGAGGCGCCTGAACAGTAGCTGGAAGAATGTCTGGCAGATGGCAATAGTCACAGCCTGCAGCTGAACTGAGATGTTCAAAATCTTGAAACTTTGAGGGTTTGGAAAGGGGCTGGGTTGAAGCGTCCCGAGTCATTATGTCCACGACATCTATGCGGAAAACCCTGCTGGAGAGTGGACTCAAAGTGCAGCTCTCGACAGTGGGCCTCAACCCACCACAGCTTCGTGTCCAAGCGTTGTCCTGCTACGTAGAGATGATTCCCCCCTCATAGTGTGCGTTGTGTTAATGTGATCACTCCCCCCTTTATTCCGTAGCAAGACCCGTTCGTGGTGCAGATGCTCGAGCAGCCGGCTTTGTCTCGTGTGTCAAGGCAGTTTGCTGGCCGCTCCACGAAGTTCTTTTCCCACCCGCCCAACTCGGGGAATGGGGGAGCGGCTGTGTTGGCTTGGTGGGCCAAATGATATTGCACAGCTTTTCAAGCATAAAAGCAGAATGGGCTCGCTCATGTACAGTACTTTAATGTACTTTACTGTCAGGCATCGCATACCGACTAGGATAGATGCTTCGCTTTCCTGACGCTGGATGGTAACCCTACAAGCCTTATGAGCAAGCAAAGGTGTGGATCGTTGATCGTCCGTTCAGCAAGTCTGACGCTCAGAACGCCCCTCTAAAGAAACTGCTCTAGTCGGCTTTCTATGTACTGGTTCGCTCTGGGAAACACTGGCAATAAGGAAGTTGGATTCCTGCGGCGGGAACCCTCAAATGTTCTCTTTTGGGAGATGAACATTTTTTCAGTGAAGTGTTTAGGTCGTGGACCAGCCCTACACTTATGCGAAATTATGGCAAGACGAGTGTGAACTTGACATGTCCATCACATGCAGCCATGAATGGTTGCCTCTGACCAGGCTTCCGGGTAATCGCAAGCTTCGAGCCTCCAAATCTCAGAAACCTTTGTCAATCTCAAAGCCTAACACATCTTGGGAGATGAGGCAAACCGTGGAAGAGGCCTTGCGGAAGCGCGCACGCGCAGCTGCTAGCTGAAGCCACAGTGACGGAGGAGCTCCAAGGGTTTCACACTTGAAGGCGGTTGGGTTTGGGATGGTACCTGTCTTAGCACTGCAGCTTGAGACCGAGCGCACCCTGCTCAGAACAAGGCCGACGCAAAAGAGGACCAGGATGTGATTTTGTCATTTTCCAAAGCTCCTAAGCTTGTCACCAGTGGTCGGGTCGCATGTCTGTGACTACTCTGCTTCTTATGCTGAAGAATTTTCTCTGCCCGGATAGGTCTGAGGGCTGCTTGCAAGACCTAGCGGAAGTATGGGCTTGATATCATCCCCATTGCCTTCAAAATGACCTAGATGACAGCGTGTTGCACGAGCCAGTATGAGAAAGGGCTGGAGCGAGTAAAATCAAGTTCTGAGCTTTGGCGGCAGTAGTCATAGCTGTAAGCAAAACATTTGCACGTAAAAAGATTTCTGTGTCTTCACTGACCTACAGCCACTTTATGGCTCAGCACCATCCGGTAGCTGATTGCAGATGTTTACCGTAGCTGCTTGCCTGCAGCAAGTCTTGAGAATTCACCGGATTCGGGAACTTGCACGTAGTCAAGTTCTTTGAGCCCAAGGAAACTGGTTAGGCATCAGAAACAGATTTGCCTGCCCGCGTTGGCAACAGCGCAGGTGCCGTGCTGGATGTTCTGCTGGTATTCCAGGGATTCCAGGGCAACCATCGTACCGACAACTGCCATCAAGTGCGCAGACCCATCGACTTTGATCTCGGGCCATTTACGCGGCATCCATGTCATACATATGCCGTTAGTATGCGCTTTGTTTCCCATCCAGGGGTCTGAAAGCAACGAAGTAGTCTGACGTGAGCAGTCTCTGACTGAGCTGGCAGGGTGCTGGAGGCAATGAAGTTCCAGGTGTCACATCAACTCATTGTGTAAAAACTTCCCATCAGCACCTGGCAGTGCAAACACGGGGAGGCTGAGCACATCTGCGCACTGATGCTGACAAGTTCCTATCATAGCTACAGCAACACCTCAGAAGCCCGGCTGCTGATCGCCAATGAGTCAGAACCCAAAAGAATAATTATGAGTCTGTCGAGAACCTCCTCCATCCTTCATGTGAGTTTCGAGGCGACGCCTGCTGCCGTCGCGCGGCCTGCCTGCATCTCTTCCGCTAGCAGATTAGAGGAGCATTGGATACATGAACAAGGAGTGGCCTTTTTGGCATAGGACTGATAGCTGCTCGCGGTGTCGTTGACGAAGCCTATAACGTAGACCAAAGGACTGTGTTTGTAGAAACTTTTCCCCATCAGAGTCGAAGCACATCTTTTGCACGCCATGGTAAGACTTGGAATGTTGTGGGGGGCTATTGGTGGGCTAAGGATACTCTTTCAGCGCTTCATTGTTGAAGCCTATGCATCGCAAGGCGTTAACTCAGGTTGACATGGTCAGCTTGTCAGTGATGTCTTGGGAGCGTAATGCCTGAAGTCCAAGCGCCGTGTAGCCCAAGTCTGTTCAGGTTCTTGCTCCTGCTCAGAGTCACTGGAGAGCCTCAATGCATACCAGCGCCCGTCACTGACCTCAAGAGTTGTTCAAGGTTACGGCTGACAGGGTATGCCTACAAGGTCAATCTGATCCGAAAAGACTTTAAGCTTAAAGGCTTCAGTTTCTTGAGTGTAGAACTAGGATTAGCAGAGCCTAGAGCAAATGTCCGATTCACGGGGCAGCTTAAGAAACTCTGCACTGCTAACAATCAGGCTCTACCCTGGGAAGTGCAGACATCACGCTGCCCAAGTTTAATCATGTGGAACGTTTCGATGTTCAGAGATAAAGTTGCGAACAAGGGTGGGGGGGGGCTGGTTGATAAGCAAATCTTGCAGACTTGGCCCAAATAGCAAGCCAATTGCAAACGGGAAAGAGTCCAACTAGCATCAATGCTTGCCGAAAGCACGTAGAACATCCATATCGATCCCCAGCTAGGGCAGCCTTTGTTCATAGCATGCTTGTCGCATTTGTCGCGTCAAATCCGGTATTGCAACTTTGAAGAACAAGTCCCGTTAGTCGATGTCCAAAGGCAGGGCAAGAAGTGTTTTCTCGGGCAGTGTCACCAGCCCACGGTGCGTCTGCGCATCTCCGTTTCCACACTACTTATGGCAATTTCCTGTGTCCCTGAACTCCTCACTGGATAAAGAGCTTGCTTCGAAGTAAATGTGACCCTGAAGCAGCAAAGAAAGCACAGACATCGCTCGGACATGCCCCAATTCAAAAGGAATCCGGCACTGCATTGGTGCAGAGTCATTCAGCTTTATCAGCCTCATCAACCTCCAAGAGATCACCAAAGTGCGGCGCCCAGGGTTTTTGGTTTTGGCGGGAGGGCGATGAGCCTGACTCACAATGCCGCACTGTGACTTCTTGTTTACATCTCGTGCCATGGTCTGGCTCGATGAATTCAGACCACTTCGCACTTTCTGCGGATTCTATAGCCTTTAGTCGACAGCAAGCGGTCTTGATGTGCAGGTGCCGTCTCATCGGCCAATCTGCAAGACAACCTGCATGTTCATTTGCATGTTGAGAAGACAACAGCACAGGCATGGTGGAGCCAGAAAGACCCCAAAGCCGCCCAGCCTTATGGAAACCACGTAGCTGGAAGAACTCCAGCCCCGTTCCAGCCTGTATTTGCAGTACTGTACCGCAGCCCATCCACCGCAAGGTCTTTTTGCGAAATAACTGGATGTAAAGGAGGAGATGGGCCGAACCTTTGCCGGTGGCACCTTGCTGTCAAGAAAAGTGTTATTCTGAAGACAACGGTTTTTTTGGATTTGAGACTCTGTCATCACCGCGTTGTTGTGGCTTTGTTCCTAAGAAAAGGTTGTGCCTGCAATGGAGGCTTTCAGGTCATGTATCTTGGTAAGCAACGGGTCAGCCGTGAGCCTAGGCTCCAAACTTCAGGGGATACAAGTGCTTCACCAGATCTAGAAGCTTGAGCTTCTTAGAGAGCGGCTCATGTGCCTCTAGGCGCCAAGCAGGACAATCTAGAATCTAGAGTCTCGTGTGTCGCGATGTGGTGATTCTACATTCGGACATTCTTGAATCCTGCACTCAGTTCCCTGCAACATATTCCTATTTGCGGAGGCTTTGTTAAGCGCAATGACATTTTCAGGACATGGGCCTTAGTTGCACAGCCGCGTCTCGAATGGTCTGACCAACCCAACACAACATGTTATCCTCCACCAAGCCCATTCAGGCTGGCCATGCTCAGCGCATATGGACATTACGGTCCCCGAATGCTTGCATTCCAAAGTGAACCCTCGACTCGATGACCTAGTAACAGTCTAAGTTCGTGCTAGCTTTGGCCACTAAGGAATCCTCAGCGCGGCAGATGCCAAGCAAACATTGCCTGGTTCCACCCAATGAAATGCGGGCATCGCAGCTGCACTCTGAAGCGACAAGTCTTGTTGTCTTAAAGTTTTTGTTCTTAGTAGCCTGATCAGGGAGCGAACAGCAGGGCCAAGCTAGCAGGAACCTGTTCCTGCTCAGGCTTCAAAAAGGCGGTCCCAGAGTGCATTGTCACCACTTCCCTCAGCCTGCTTGTGATAGCTGGCATGCACCTGCGTGGATCATGTTCTATCCAGCCTTGACGGTAGTTCCCTCGTGGTAGCAGAGTAGATGAGACATTTGAAGCCTGCGCTGTTCCAACAGAGGTCGACCTTCGGGGCGACTTTGGTTCACTTCGCCAATGCCTCCCTGCCCGAGAGAGCCCACATGCCAAGTTGTAGCTCAGCTTGGCAGCAGAAATTACCTCCGCAGTTTCATGTTTCTGCCCATTCAAAGTAAAAGCCTCGCTGCTGAATTGTGCAAGTCTCAGATAGTCTCAGCGACACTTGCTATTGGAGAATTAGGTGATTAGTCAGGATCCAGACAGGCTAGCACCTTCTGCAATGAATGGAGGGAAACCAAATGTTGTTTGGGGCCTGAGTGGTATCTGTTTGGAGAAAAAGGTCAAGCATTCATCTTACGGCATCCTCAGCGCATCTTCAGCCAAAAGCAAGTAGAGACTGCGAGAGACTCAAGGTGGATTTGTGGATTCCTCTGAAGAGGCGGGGTTTGGAGTGGCTGTTTTGGAGAGCTCAAGGGTGGGGAGTGTAACCGGAGCCTGTCCAAAAGATGGCCCATCTGCGTTGCGTTTTGCCAAGGTAATGGCGCATTGCCATAGATAATTCTGGGCAGCTATGAGTGATCCATTTAAGTAAGACTGGAATGGGCGTATGTAAAGTTCCTCAACGAGAACCCTTCGAAAGGGCTAGCATGTTCAGGGAAACCTTGCTTTGGTTTGGAGTGTTGACCCACACTTGCAATTTGCATAGGGACAGTATCAGCATGAACTTCAACAGCCAAGGCAGCAGGCTTCAATAGTTGACGTCAGTTCTGAGAATAATGTGCACTTCCGGAGAGCTCTGTTGAAGCCAGCAGTTTGGTGGGAGCTATGCCAGGGACAGTCGAGGGATGATTTCAGCACTGATGTTTTGTTTCCGAAAGCCTTAGGAAGTTACCGCAGCGACCCAAACCAAAGAGACGGCCAGTGACTAGTGCTTCACGTTGCGTGGTCGTGCAGCCTGTTGAGCAACATCCATCTGAAAGCACAGATTCAGAACACTCTTCGCATCTTCCACAGGAAGACAAACCCTAGGGGACGAGGCACAGTGAAAGCTGGTACTTTTGAGGCTACACAGCGGCTGCTGATGGAAGAAAACAGCAGGTTACGCAGAAACAGACTATCAGCTCCATTTTTCTGGCCCCTTTTTCTTGACGAGAGACTTCATCGGAGGACACATGCACCGGAGGGGAGCAAGGTCCCTTGGAGTGCCTGGGCAATGCCTATGAGTCGATATGAGAAAGCATGAACGGCCACGAAGAGTGGTCTTGGAACGAAATGGAGATGTTGAATGTTCCACGTTTCCTGTTTTGCCGTGCCAGTACATTTACGCAGCTAAGGTTCTTCACCAACAAGTACCCGCTGTGGACGTGGTTTGGTAACCTGCCTGTTCATGGCCATCAATCAAGTTTCATCAAGTGGCAAATGCTTTGTACAGCAGTGATGTTGGCAAATCTTTTTCTTTGAGGAACGAGACATGCTCGAATTGCAGACTGAGGTAAGCCCCGTTAGGCAAACGCTAGACAGCACAAATGCGTCCGGCCATTGCTGAGTGGCTGCTCTCAGGTGACGTGTTCTGGACTGCTGGGGAGAAACCAGAAGATCCCGCCAACCACCGGCCAATCTCCGATGTGCGCTGGCGAATCCTCATCCTAAGTCTATCAGTCCATGTATCAACCTAGATAACAGAGCCTGTCTGCTAGCCAACTCGCATCACCACCTCAGCTGAGAAAATGGTTCGGCTCAACAGTATGTGCAGAGCGAGGGCGACAAATGTAGGACACCACAACGAGAGCCTGTGCAGTTGAGAAGCATCTCACGGTATTCGGGAAGTCTGCAGTCAGCTGGAACTCCCTCTACTCTCCCCCAACGTCTCTCTGACGCACTCTCCTTCTCATTGTCTCTCCGTCTATCTCTCCCTCCCTCCCTCGTTCTCTATCTCTCTCTCGCTATCTCGCTCCCTTTCCTTGTACCTCGGGCTTTGCCTCTGCTTCTCCCTCCCTGTCTTTCCCATCCCTCTCACATTCATTCACTCGTATCAACTCAGTCACTTCCTGTCTCATGCCCTCCCTCTTGCCTCCTCCCGCGTTCAGTTTATTTGTGCATCCATCTCAGTGCGCATGCTGTGCTTTCAAAGCAGTCCGGTTGAATCTTGTCACCTAGGCATCCTTCCAAGACTGGCCCCTGGGTGGCACTTCAACAGTTGTGTGTGTCTTCACGACGGAGTTTGGGAAGAAGTGACACCGAAACTTGGGGAGTGTGGGATGGCATTTGAAGGATTCAAGTTCATTGCTGAGTGTTTCCTGCGCAGTGCAGGCTAAGCATGGGATTTGAGGAGTTCCTAGGGCAGATCACCTGTTGAGGCTCCAATCTGGCGGTGTCTCAGAGTAATTCTCTTCAAAGTTGATGCAAGGTGTACCCTGTAGCGGTCTTGTCAATGCATGTGCATAATGGGTCACAAGCTCCCTCGTACCAGTCATTCATGGCCAGCTGTCAGCTCCGAACTGGCCCATAGTGCTCCATGTTACAGACCTCAGTGCAAGTGCCTTTCTGCCGCACACCGAGGAAAGGACGATTCGCTCGGGGCTTTGTTGGCATTGTGCTGCGGATGCTTGAAGGAACATGACCAAATGCAAATTGTAGGTTGTATGCCGGCTATTCGCGTCATACCACATGCAACCACAGCAGCCCTGAAGCTTCTCTGGGCTAAGGTCGGCCTCTTTCGGCAGCCGGAGTCTCGAATTGCTTCTGCCTTCAACCACTTCATGGGAGGCAGCGGGGACGTCATCCAGCGACTTGTCACAGGATGGCGGGGTGTGCTGAATATGTTCCAGAGGCTGGCGCTGGCAATGTCAATGTCATTCATAGCTGCTCAGGCGGGGCAGGTATACGTATGTGCGCATGACCTAGGACACGGCTGGCGGGGAGGCTTAAAGAGGGCATGTGTTGTGATTTCGACATTGGATTCAGATGTCCTACTGGCATGAGTTCAGGAATGCAAGACTCAGCGAGTGCAAGCACCCAGCAAACGCTCAGCACGCGCCGTTGTTCTAGCAAATTACCCAGCTGCATTCTTTCACTTGAACCTCAGGTTTGCGAAATTCACTCGCGGCTTAGTGACTCTTGGTTTGCAAAGTGTGTATCACAAGACTTGGGTGTATACAGTATACATAGTCCAACCCGCGTCATTCGCAGATGGTGGAGGCCAGAAACTTGGAACATAGGTAGATAACTGGTATCCTCATACACAAATACCGAGAAAGAGAGAGAATCAGCCCAACTCACGCATCGCCCAGCGGCAGCCCTCCGCTGTCTGAAGACTGAGGACGAAGCTGCTGGCTGGAGACAAAGGTTATACTCCTGTCCACTGCGAATTTGCGTGCTCCGTCAAATTTTCCTCGGCTTCTACAGAGGGCCTGGAGTCAGCTCTCATACTTCCTTCCAGGGTGAATGTTCTGCACAAGCCGTGCGAAATGTGGAGCTAGCAATCCAAACTGGCAGCTAAGTGAAGTCAAGATAGTTTGTTCAGAACGTTTGGGCAGCTCTCTTGAAGTTTGCAGTTCAGCGCGCAGATGCTAATGTGGTCAGTCCTTCACTTCGATTTGTGGCCAAGCCTCAGGTACCGCGAGCGCTTCACCAATTGGACTCGCGATTGCCAGAGACTCAAGTCAACGATTCCGACAGTGGTCTTGTAAGGATTTGAAAAGCGCAGAGGTTTCTGCCAATAGACATTGAAACCGTCACAGCACCATTCAGACATCGTGAGACAAGTTGGTCTTGCACGCCCCCATCAACGCTTCGTAAGCATGTACCAAAGGGTCCCAGCTATACTGTGGTAAAAGACGAGAAATTCGAGGTTCCTCTTACAACTGCCAGCAATGTATCCGCAGCGCGGACGCAGACCTGCCCAAGGCTTTGCTGAGGCTGAGAGGGTTCTGCTTATCTCCGTGAGCTCAACCATGAATTCGCTGGTCATGTGTTCGATAGATACTGTACCCGCCCTCAGGGAGGAACCATCCGTGGTGCCCACAAAACGTTCTGCGTCAGCTATTGATTGACCTATTTATCCACGTATGTTAGCACACTTGTGTGCGTTGAAACATGGAGCAATCGGGCGCGCACCGCANNTCGAACCGCCTTTTTGTGTGCCCCTAGTTGTTAACCGCCTTTAGCCTGAGCTATGGCGGCTTCTGACAACACCTCATCGGCGGCAGCTGCTCTTCGCCGCCTGGCGTCTTTGGACGAGGCGTCCAGGGCGCTTTGTCCTATATGGGCCGGGAGCCCTTCAGGCGCCTTCGTCGTGCGGGGGGGCATACTCCGACGCTCGAGCTTTGTGATGACGAAGGCGGCAGTGGCCCTGCTGGGGCAAGTTCGAGCACGGCCTTCCGCCTTGACCCGGCGGACAACGAGGCCAATCAGATGACCGCCCCATTTGGGGCGAACATCAACAACCTGGATGCGGTCTCCTTGGCTGACACCTCCATGGGGGCGATGGCTTCGCCCACTGCAAGCTATGCCACCCAGGAACCCGTCTGGCCACCTGCTGCGGGCGGCATGACCTCCTTGGACGCCTACTTGGCGGCCACACACCTGGTGAATACCGCCCAAGTTATGGGCGACTCCGCTGCGGGCGCTGGCGGCACTACTTCCTCCTCTCCCCCTACGGCTGGACCGCCTACTTCGTTTGCAGCGGCGTCTACTACCACCGGGGCGGCTCCGCCGATGCAGGCGCACGAAGGGCCGCCCACTCCGGGCGCGACCCGATCAGGGGCAAACAAGATAGCCCCTCAGCGGGCGGACCCCGAATCCACATTGCCTACCGCCACTGGCGCAACCACCACGGTTCGCCAGGTGGCGGGGCAGTTCGGCACAGCACTGGCCCATGCGAGCCCGGATCGGAAGCAAACACCGCCCCCTTTCTAAGGCGGCCCCTCCCAAGGCTAAGCCGCCCCCCCCCGGTGTGGCGCCTTGCGCCTCGCCGGGCAACCAGTGTGCAAGTGCACCGCCCGTGCGGACTACTCAACGCCTTACAAGCAGGCAGAGCAATTGAGGATGAGTTACGACAGCTTCGTCCGCCGCCTTGAAGGTGGTGGGCGATGCACACCGTGGAGGTCATAGATGGGGCGGACCGCCCGTTAACCCTGGATCCTCCAGCTGGTACATCGCCAAGGTTCGAGCGCAGGGGCAGTGGGGCTCCGCCGGCTGCAGCGATTTTGGCATCCGCTTAGACCTGCCGGCCCTCCAGGAGCGCCAAAGCCCAGGCCAAGAAGACCCTTGCTGGGGGCGGCAACCCTGGCAACCCAGCCCAAAGGAAGGGCCAGACACGTAAGCCCCAAAAAAGGAGACCGCCGCAACACATGCGGCAACGAGTCCCACAAAAACTGGAGCGACTGGTCCTGTCTAATTGGAACCAGGACCAGGCTTGACCTGGCCAAGAAGACCAAGCGCCCTGGCAAAGGCGCGAAGCGTTAGGGACCGTGGGCCCTCACCGGGACCCGACCACCCCCAAGAGGACGGGGCAGGCGGCCGCAAGAGGGTTCTTTGTCTTGGAGCCACGCTTCGGCCATCCACGCCTTGCCCTGGCATGGGAAATCGGCCCGGACTGCAACAGAGTCACCGGAGGTTGCCGTGGCTGGTCAACAAATGCAGATAGCCGCCTTGATCAAGAAGGCGGACCCCGACAACGAGCGCCTTGTCATCTTTGAGACGGCTCCGCCATGCCAAGACTTCTCGCCCATTGGCCCGGGCGAGGGCGCGAGAGGGCAGCTCTTCGTCGCCTCGACCGACTTCATGCAGGCGATCTTCGACGAGCTGCCCGACCACAACACCGCCTCCCCTCTCCTCAGCTGATGGCTCAGCGCTGGCCTGGAGCAAGAAGGACGGCTTTCGCCGCCTTCAGTTCAACGCCCCGAGAAGGGCGGTCACAGACTTCTACATCAGCGGTTACTCCTTCTATATGCGGACGTGGCTTCTGGGCGCAAGAGGAGGGGCGGCCCGCCCCAGCCCCGGAAGAGACCGTGAGAGGGCGGCCCTTGTTGGGGGGGTGGACTGGCAGGCATCGGCCGCTCTCCAAGCCCCCAGGCGACTGGACTGGAGTACAGTCGAGTCAAGCTTATTCTGCTATTCTGCTACTCTCTCTCAACTTTTGACTGGATACCTCACATGTTCCGACTTAGGAGCCGCGACATGATCTTGTGGAGGTTCTGGTTGAGATCCGCGGCCTCGTGGACGAGTGGGCGGACCACCTGGTTGGGCGACAGGAAACCGCATGTGAAGGCGGTCTATATATACTGCGCCCCTGACAAGCCCACCCAGGTTCCCTCCAGCTTGGTACCTCGACGTGATCGGCATCAAATCTGACCTCACAAACGGGTTCGACATGCTGGGGCGAATCCGCCCTAGACCAGGCTGGCCGGCCAGAGAGGACGGGCGATATCAGACGCCTACCTCTTTGGACATGCTGAGGTCTGACAACTGGGCCTACGTGAAGCACAAGCTCACCGCAACGATGCGTCCCAGCATCCAACTTCCAGAGGTTTCAATGTCTAGTGGAGTCCTCAGAAGGCGACATTTTCGTGGCTGCCAAGAAGACGAGGCAGGGGGTGTCAAGCTCCGTAGGGGCGAAGACTGGAGAAGGCTGCATCACAACGCCACTGTGTTGGTGGAGGACATCCCACCACGTGGTGGGCGACTACGTGGACATGGCCGCCAGATTCTCCCAAAGGCGAGTCCACTCAGTGCTCAACGCCTACCGCCAGTGACCGGTCAAGGAGCCGTCCCACAGCGGCACCATTCTGCACACCGCCTCGGGGCCGACCTCGTGGTTCCACTTCGCTGTGTGCTTTGGGGCGGCCGCGGGGGATGCCCTCCAGTTCCTCACGCGGGCCCTCCTCTTCATCGTGGGCGGCCACTCCGTGGACGACTTCAACGGGGTGGACGCTGATGACCTCGCCGACTCCGGCTTCGCGGACTCCTTCAAGCTCATGGGCCTCCGCGCCAAACCGTCATAAGCTCAACTTCGTCAACCAATCCATCTTCGGCAAAGTTGGCAGTGCCCATCTACGCCAGAGCAAGCGCCAACGCGGGCGACCGTACTGATATCACGCCCGGTCTTCGCACGGCGCTGCTGCCTTGCTGGAACAAGTCCCGCCCAGGTTCATACCATTCACCGCCCCCAGGGCGGTCAGCTGCGTCATCTACGCGGACGCCTTCTTCCTGGAGGACGAGCTTCGGCACAAGGCTGGTTGGGTACCAGCCAATGCCCCAATGACGTGCTCACACCGGGCGTCCAACGGCTGGGGCTACGTCGTCCGCGTCGGCGACACAGTGTGGTATGATTCGGGGTCGATCCCGGAGTGGTTCATTCGCAAGTTCGACACCCGCAGGGCGTACATCTATATGCTCGAGGTCCTGGCCCAGGTCCTGGCTGTGGTCACGCTCTCCGACTACCTGAGCGAGGACTGGGTGGCGTTCATCGACAACGCCGCTGGCCAATGGGCGCTCAACAAAGGTTACGGCCGCGACAGCTCGGTCAATGGCCTCCTTTCCGCCTTCTGGTCGATGGCGGCCCTCCACTCTTGGCGGCCCGCCTTCTATCGGGTCACTTCTGAGGCGAACATAGCCGATCTAATCTCCAGGGCAGATTGCACCCTGGCAGTCCGTCACGGCTGGACCCAGGCGGACACCAAGCTCGAAGCCGTCCTCGAGATCCTGGCATGGACGGCAGGACCTCGAGTACGCGGTCCACCGGGCGGCTTCTGACTTGAGCGCCCTTTAATTCTACTTTTTCCGGTGCCAGCGCGATGCGGGGAAGGGGCGCCGGACGGGGAGCAGATGCGCCCCTCCGGCCCCGGATTTGGGGCGTCTGCGGACCCCCCGCCGATACAGGCGATTCCCATCCGCATCAAAAAAGTGCCGTTGCACATTTTGCTCTGTAGTGCACGTACTGCGGCATGAGTTTGTTAGCACACTTGTGTGCGTTGAAACATGGAGCAATCGGGCGCGCACCGCA